TGGTAATCAAGCAAGAAAAAGCTGTGGTAAATATAATCAGTATCAGTATGATTCAGTGGTGGCAGCACAGCTTGTCAAGTAGCAGTCCTACGAATCACCTGATGCAGGTCCTAAACCAGTGAGAGATTGCAGGATAAGTCACTGCCAAACTATAGAAGTTCAAATCATATGTATTGCTTGTACTGAAAATGGATTTTAAAAGAATTATCTTGGATGAACAAAGTTTTTAGCTTTAGGTACTGTAATACAGATATAATTATTCACATTTATCCATTAATGTCTGTCCGAGTAAGGAGTAACATTTTTGTCACTTAGCCATGATTTAGTGTTGCAGGGTTGAAATCAATCTTGACATCTTATTCTCTTATTCCTGCCCATTATTGTACTCAGTAGTACTTGCATTTATCCAGAGTGACATGATTATTTTCCTGCTCAATGACACAAAAAAATGTATATTTTATTGTACTCTCCTTCTTAAGTAATTATAGTTATCACATTCATACTCACATTTTTTATTGAATATTGGCATGAAATGAAGCAAAGTTTCAATATCATTTAAATTTTCAACTCCACACTCTAGAGACATTAAGAAGATGTTGCTCACCAATGACCTTACGGAAGCAGTGATGGATGAGGCAGAGGAGCTTGGTGTAAACTTCATCCTGTCGTATCATCCTCCATTGTTTAGGCCAATCAAGAGGATCACTTACAATGCTTGGAAGGTGATTGTGAATATGATGTAATTTACGACTGGGATTATATTAACCTATTGACCCCGGTAGTGGATGCCCAGTGCAGCTTTGTTTTGCTAATTTTGTTTACATATGGTGTTCAGCTAATCTTAAATTTGGTTATGAGCATTATGGCTTTGCCTTTTTTATGGGCAAAATGATAGGTAAAGTAAAATGTAAAAAAAAATAAGGAAATTTTGACTCTTAGCCTGAGCTGTGGATTAGGCTGTGGGTTAGAATGGAAGGAAATGTGGTTGAATATTTCCTTGAATTTTTTAGAGAGTTTATATTTATACCAAAGTTAAACAGTCATGGAAAGAATAATGAATCCATGTTCTTTCTCTTTATTTTTCTCTTTTTTATGGAAATGCCTAAATATAAATATCCTTGCTTTACAGGAACGCATTGCCGCAAGGTGCCTGGAAAAGGGCATTGCCGTATATTCACCTCACACGTCCTATGATGCTTTAAAGGGAGGCGTAAATGATTGGCTCATTGAAGCTTTTGGTATGTATTGAGATGCAACAGCTGGTGTTTTACTTTTTTTTATTGAATGTTGTTTATTTTTCTGTTTTGCTTAAATGGTATGTTAATTTGTATAAAAACAACTAATACTAGGTGAATTTAGTAGTTTTTTTTTCCCCATTTCTACTTATTTAATACAGTGTTGTTCTTTTTGGATTAGATGTAATCAGAAGAAAAATTAATCCCTCTTTCATTTTCATGGGCCAAGCTGTATTTTAGAAATAATTTTGAAGGCCAAGATTTTATTGATACAAGTAATCCTCATGGACTACATGTAGTTATTATTTTCCCTTTGTTCATAAGACATCCTAAAGGCACGATTCAACTAGTCTTGTATATGTCTAGGACCTGATTTGTGTCCGAGTGCCCAGCCAGACTTGTTTCAGTTGTGAAAAGCATCCCCGTAATAGACCGCACATGCCTCTCTCTTGAATAACACAGTGCATAGTACTTCTCATTCAAGCAACACGGAGCACAATTATTATATAAAATCTCTTATATAACTTTTGTTGACTTTATAGATACTGACACTTTCCTTAACCCTTTGGATCCGGTAGCATCACGGAAATCACAGAGCTGAAAAACCTGGCAGTGGGTTATATAAGTGGCCAATATCTTGGGAGTGTGGCGAGTAGGCCGGGCAAGCACGAACACCTAAGAGCGATGACAAGACTCTGTGCCTCCCCTTTGAAAAGTTATTTTGTTTAAATTTTTTAGCTTTATCACCATTTTCGAATGTATATAATTTGTCTTTTCATTTGCTTTATCCAGATGGTAATTACTTATTTTCCTTGCACGGACTCCATACCATCTCTCTATGTAGTAAATAACTCAGTGCAAGAGAGAAAAAAAAAAGTAACATTTGCTTGTGTCATATATCTCATTTTTCGTAAAATTCAATTTTACGAAATACAACCTTCGCCGCCAGTCACAGCGGCCAGGAATATGGTGCGCAGCATGGAAATCGCATCCTCCCTGGAGCCAGCGATCTTCCAGTCACTGCTTATTACGTTACAAGCCTCCTTCTAAGTGCCAAATGAGTCAAATCACACTCATGGGGAGTCTTTTCTGTCAACCTGGCCGTCACTCATGACGGCAGTTCATGTCACTCAGGCCTTGGTCAATTTGCCCGTGCAGCTCTTTCTTTTTTTTTTGACTTGACTGCAATGTCATCTGGGTCCAAGGGGTTAAGCAATTTGAAATTGCACCCTGGAAAGCCCGGAGATATCCAAGGAGAAACACGCTCTACGTTGTGCTATTGCTGGCTTCCCTCAGCCACCAGATTTTGCACTGAAGTGACTAATTCGGCCCAGATAGCCAAGCCTATGGCCAGGCCTGCACATACAGGAGACCAGTTGAATAGCGCCTTAACACCCTAAAAAACACCATTCTGCTTCAATGCCCTCCTTTTCCACCTACAATTAACCTTTTGTACATAGGTATATGTACTGTTTACTGCAAATTTTTTCATACACAGATGACTCTACAAGTGCACACCCATCATGAGGTCAATTAGTAGCTTAATATGACCTCACCTCATTTCCCAATATCATGAATTTTATTTTATTTTTATTTTTCTAATGCAGTTAAAATTTATTTTTTATTGTTATATTCAAGCCACACCAGTTTTATTTGTTGTTTCTCAGATTTTTTCAGAAAAAAATTGGAGCAACAAGAAAAATGAAAAAAGAAAAAAAATTCTGGGTTGAAGATATAGGGCTTACAGAACAGAAAGAGTAACAGAATATTTCAAGTTTTCAGCTTTTCATGGCACATTTTGTGTAATGAATCCTGTCCTTTGATTTGTTACTACCATTCTGAACAAAGAACATTGTTTTTGACTGAATTTACGTGAGTTGTATTTACTACTATTATTGTAATTTTTGTTTTGTATGATGTCAATCTAAAGTTTGATAAAGCAGTGTTATTTAAAAACAAACATCCCATACTCAAAAACCAAAAACCTGTGTAACAGCAAAAGTTTACTGTGTCAGGTCCCTTTCCACTGGTATTTTGTTATCTAATTTGGCATGCAAACTTTCAGCTTTACAAAAAAACATTGATCTGCTCTACTTTCTAAATGCTCTATAAACTACTATACAACTAAACTCTAAACTAAACTAAGTTTAGTTTAGTTCTAGAGTTTAGAATGGTGCACATCAGCCCACAACAAAACCTTCTAAGGTGCAATATTGCTTTGAAAGATAAGACACTCCCTGATTGGTTGTCTTCTAGCATGTGACTACAAAGAAGCTGTCAAGTAGCAGTTGGTTGGTTTCCGGCAGCATGTACCTCTGAGAGAGCCAATATATATAGGTTTGCGAAAGAAAAGCCTGTAGTGGTTTCTGGTCCAGCCTCCTTTTTTTTCAAAAAAATTTAAGTGGCAAGTCCGAGAATCAACAAATGAAATTGTGTGGCCTTAATTTACATTATAAATTTTATATTATTGAAATACTAATAACAATAGAAAATACAAAAGAATTGCTGAAAATCAAGGAAAAGGGAAACAGGTTAGGTTGGTAGTGTTGATAATTGACTGCTTGGTAGCTATGTATTTATGGAGCCATGTTTTTATAAACAAAGTCTTCAATATTTCAAGAGCCTAATTTATTACACCATAAAATGTATTTATCACTCATAAGTCAGATACATACAATGCAGTTGAGCATTATAGTTAAGATAATTACTCTTGGGGATTGAATAAAACGAAATATATATATGTACTAATTTTACAAGTTGAAACTCCATGCATCCAGTTCACTTAGAAAAGAGGTGGAAGGGACAGTGAGGGGAAGTATACAAAAAGAAATCCTATCAAAATAAAAGAAAGAAAAAATCTTATTTGTGATCCAGTATCTGTTTAAAAAGTATGATGTCCATGTTCTTAATCACAAAGTAGTTTTTATAACCTTTATAAATGCCAGGTTCTCTCTTTATGGAAAAGTGTGAACTTGACCCATTCATGATGGGTGTTGTCCTATTACATCATGGCAAAAATTCCAAAATGCTGAATAACACCTAATCGTGTTATGAGTCCATTTCCCAGTGGCTAAAGTGGCATCTCATGTGCCCCATTATATGTCAGACAATCATTTGGGAGCAGAGCAGTACACTCTAATACAATACAGGTTGTATTAGTGTGTACTGCATTGTATTAGGTTGTATTAGTACACACTATTACAATCTGGCCTCACCAAACTTTATTAGAAATTTTACCCACTATGAATGAGTTAACACTTTCTAAATATAGAAAAAAGAATTTCTTTGATAGCAGCCTGATAGAAGAGCGTGTACAGTTTCACTAATTGTTTTGATAACTTAGTATTTTCCTAGGTAAATTTTATTTCTTTATATATTAAAGGAAACAGTACATAAAAGACATGTATGCAGTGACTTAGACCACAGTAAACTTAGTATTACAGTATGGGAGGAAAATACATGTATTTTGTTTTTATTTTATGCAGGTTTTAACAGTAACTGCACCAAGAGATCTGAAAATAGATAGTTCAAACTTTTGCAGTTCATCTTATTCATGTGACAGTATATATTTTCTTGTTGCATACTAGTTATTGTGTATAGTACATTTCTTGATTTGAAACTGTATCGGAGGATTTTGTAAAGTTTATAACGATAACACACATGAAAGTGCATGCTCATGCAATATTTATTACTGATGAATATATTGTGGGAGAGAATAGGTGTTAATCAGAATTTTTATGGGAGATATGTAAGTGTAATGTTGACATAAATGTCAGATTATCAGTTTAAATGTTATTGAAAATATATATAAAGAAAAAAGAAATAAATGATACAAGTGAGACAACACAAGATATTCTGAATAACAAGCACATTGCATGTTTAGTAAATAGATATGACAGTAACAAAATTTTCTTCCATTTATTGTTAATTTTACAATTATTTTTTCTTTTTATGTGAATATGTGTACATTTATTTCAAAACAGGTGAAGGGTTAGTGAGCCCAATACAAGCAAGTACAACCTTCCCGTCCTTTAGCCACAAAGTAACTGTTGCTGCAGCTGACGAACCTGAAGCTTTGGAACTAAGGGACAAGTTTGCCAGCCACCTTGACAAGTCTCAGAATGTTACAAGGTACCTGTGCATGGGTTTCTACAGTTGAATAAATGCAGCCAGATCTGTTAGTCCATATGAATAATAGCTAGTTGCCTAGAATTGAAATTGTGCCAATTTAAATAAAAGGCATTTCTTCTCAAAGAGCCAAGACACTCATCTAAAATGACTGTCATAGGAGATAAAGTGGGATATAAAACAGGAAAAAAAAAAAGTCTAACAGCACTTTTTAGTTTTATTTTCCTTTTTGCATGTTGGCAGTTTACTGTTTTGTTCTATGGATTTGTTGTCTGTTTGCTCACATTTATGGTAAACATAAGAATATTGTTTATGTGGGTAGTGCAAAGAGAATTTTGCATTTTTTGGGGGAGAGAACCACCATTTTTATTTCAGATATGGCACATTTTTCTATGGAAACAAATTTAGCTTATCATCTCTTTGCTAAAAGCCTGAAATGTTAAAAGAAATCTCCTATGTTGAAAAGTGTTTGAAGTCTTACAAAAAAGATATCATATAAAATTAAAAGTAATGATATATTACCCTGAAATTCCATGAACCATATGCAAAGTTTGAAATATAATAACTGATATTTTTAAAAAATAAAAAAAGTAAACCCAAATAAAACATGGTTTAATACTTGCTTTAAACCAATCCACCAAGGCTTGAATACAGACTAATCCATGAATAAGGATTTTAATATGAATTACAAATGTTTATTTCTGTCTCTTTTTTCTTCCTACATTCATTCCATACCTTGTTGGTGTGAAGTCTTTTTTTCTGGCTTTCTCTGTGTTTTATATCTTTATACCTCTATTTTTCATTGTCTTTGAGAAACCTGTAAAATTAAAGCATATTGTTTTATTTGAGGCACTATCTTTCATTATTAAAGTTTATTATTACTTTAGCTGTAAATATTGTTATTTGAGTATTATGGTTTGTTTTTAACTGATGCATGAGTATTCAAAAAAAAAAGAGATAATGATGATGATATTGATAATGAATAGTGATGGAAATGCTATTATTACTAATGGTATTATTGCATTTATTTATAATAAATGCAATTTAAATCTCACTTTACAATAGGTGCCTATTGTTGGTCATGGAATGGGAAGAAAATGCAAGTTGTCGAGGCCAATGAGCATAACGGAAGCTGTTGGCAGGATCAAAGCCCACCTGGGTCTTCCCTATGTCAGATTAGCCCTTGCTCATGGAGCAAAACTAAGTTAGTACTTTTCATACATTTGTCAAACCTGCCTTGAAATGTAATGCATGCTTTTTTTTTTAAACAGTATTAGGGTATACATAATTTTCCTTAGATTCTGTTACATAAGCAAAAACATTACATGCATACACTCACAAGCACTTCCACACTTACTCACACACACACTCACATACACTCATGGACACATGCTGGCATGCACTCACCCTCACATGTTCACACATCCACGCACGCACTCACTCATACACTGACACACACACACACACTCACGCACTCCACGCATCACTCACGCACACAACACACTCACACACACACTCACACACACACCACTCACACACACACACTCACACTCACACTCACACACTTCACACTCACACACACACACACACACCACACACACACACACACACACACACACACACTCACACACACACACACACACACACACACACACACACACACACCACACTCACACACACACACACACACACACACACACACACACACACACACACACACACACACACACACACACACACACACACACACACACACACACACACACCACACACCACACACACACTCTATTCTCTCTGTCTATCCCTCTCTCTCTCTCTCTCTGTCTATCCTCTCTTCTCTCTCTCTCTCTCTCTCTCTTCTCTCTCTCTCTCTCTCTCTCTCTCTCTCTCTCTCTCTCTCTCTCTCTCTCTCTCTCTCTCTCTCTCTCTCTCTCTCTCTCTTCTCTCTCTCTCTTCTCTCTCTCTCTCTCTTTTCTCTTTCTCTTTCTCTCTCTCTTTCTCTCTCTCTCTCTCTCTCTCTCTCTCTCTCTCTCTCTCTCTCTCTTCTCTCTCTCTCTCTCTCTCTCTCTTCTTCTCTCTCTTCTCTCTCTCTCTCCTCTCTCTCTCTCTCTCTCTTCTCTCTCTCTCTCTCTCTCTCTCTCTCTCTCTCTCTCTCTTCTCTCTCTTCTCTCTCTCTTCTTCTTTTTTTTCTCTCTCTCTCTCTCTCTCTTTTTTTTCTCTCTTTCTTCTCTTTTTTTTTTCTCTTCTCTCTCTCTTCTCTTTTTTTCTCCTCTTCTCTTTTTTGTCTTCTTCTCTCTTTTTTTCTCTCTTCTCTTTTTTCTCTCTCTTTTTTTCTCTCTCTCTTCTCTCTCTTTTTTTTCTCTCTTTCTCTCTTTTTTTTCTCTCTCTTTCTCTTTTTTTTCTCCACTCTCTTCTTCTTTTTTTCGCTCTCTTCTCTCTCTTTTTTTCTCTCTCTTCTCTTTTTTCTTTTTCTCTCTCTCTCTCTTCTCTCTTTTTTTCTTTCTACGTCTTTTTTTCTCTCTCCTCTCTTTTTTCTCTCTCCTCTCTTTTTTCTCCCTCTTGGTTCTTTTTTTTTCTCTTCTTCTCTCTCGTCTCTTCTCTTTTCTCTCTCTCTTCTCTCTTTTTTCTCTCTCTCTCTTTTTCTCTCTCTTTCTCTCTTTTTTCTCTCTCTCTTCTCTCTTTTTTTTTCTCTCTTCTTTCTCTTTTTCTCTCTCTCTCTTCTCTCTTTTTTTCTCTCTCTCTTTCTCTCTTTTTTCTCTCTCTCTTCTCTTTTTTTTTTCTCTTTTTTTTTTCTCTTCCCTCTTTTTTTCTTCTCTCCACACTCACCTCACACACTCACATCACACACTCACACACTCACACTCACACACTCACCACTCACACACCCACCACTCACACTCACACACACACACACACACACACCACACACTTCACACTCACACTCAACACTCACACTCACCCACTCACACTCACACACCACACACACACACACACCAGCACACCTACACCACACACACACACACACACACACACACACACACACACCACAACACCAACAACACACACACACCACCACCACTTCTCTCTCTATTCTCTCCTGTACTATCCTCCTCGTCTTCCTCTCTTAGCTGCTCTTCTCCCTCACAGCCGTATTGCCGCCTCGTGCTCTCTCGTCAATATGCATTCTCTCACCTACTGAACTCATCACTAGACGTGCTACATTACAGTGCTTGTAGCGTCTCCCCTCGGATACTTCGGTTCTCTTCGTCTCATCTCCTCTCCTACTACTCTACTCGCGTCAGCTTCGGAGGACTCCTGTTGCTCTTTTCGTCGTACATCTCGTGCCTACTCTTCTCTCTCCTGAACATCTGTGCGTACTCCTCCTCTCGTAGTAACGGTATACTGCGGAGGCTCTCGTATGTGCTCTCTGCAGTCTACTCTACAGTGCAGTCGAAATCCGGCCCTACTGCTCACTCTCCACTCTCGACGCTAATCCTCACGTCCTCCTCAGCTCACTCTCCGACTAAGCTCAACGTTCTTCCTTCTGAACGTGTCTCGTCTCGATACTCTCTCTCTTCGTAGACTCTTTTGCTGGCTTTCCTCTCTGCTGCTCTCTCTCTCTCTCTCTCTCTCTCTCTCTCTCTCTTCTCTCTCTCTCTCTCTCTCCTCTCACGTCATGTGCTACTGCTCACTCTGCTGACTACTTCCTATTTGTACATATCTTCTGGTCTCTAGCATCTCTACTCATCTGCTGGAATAACTTCTCTAAATATGCTCTCTTCTCTACTATTTAGCTTTCAGTGACGTCTTGCATCTCTGCTTTCATATGGCATGAAATAATGGTTTCTCTCTTCTACTGCTGGCCGTGGTTTTCTATTGCCAATAGTCCGTTCGAGTGGCGGAATTCCTGATACTGACAGATCTGTTAAGTTTTTTCTGTTAATGTCTGCCTGGTCAAGTGCTCATTGTAATTCCCTGTCTCTCTCTTCTCTTTTGCCTTTTTTCTCTCCTCTTCTCTCTTTTTTTTCCTCTCTTTCTCTCTTTTTTCTCATCTTCGTCTGCTTTCGTTATTTTCTAACTCTCTCTCTCTTTTTTTTTCTCTCTCTTCTCATTTTTTTCTCTCTTCCTCTCTTTTTTTCTCTCTTCTCTCTTTTTTTCTGCTCCTTACTCTCTCCGATTTTTTTCTCATCTCTCTTACTCTCTGTTTTTTTTCTCTCTCTCTCTTTTTTTTCTCTCTCTTCTCTCTTTTTTCTCTCTCGTCTCTCTTTATTTTCTCTCTCGTCTCTCTTGTTTTTCTCTCTCGTCTTCTTTTTTTCTCTCTTCTCTTTCTTTTTTTCTCTCTCCCTCTCTTTTTCTTTTCTCTTCTCTTCTCTCTCTCTTCTCTCTCGGCTCTCTTTTTTTCTACTCATCTGTACTTCTCTCTCTTCTCTCATCTAACTTTCTCTCGCTCTCTTATCTCTTTATTTTGTCTCATCTGTCTCTTCTCTTCGTCTTTTCTCTCTCTCTCTCTTCTCTTCTTTTTTTTTCTCTCTCTTCTCTTTTTTTTCTCTTTCCTCTTTTTTTCTCTCTCTTCATCTTTTTTTTCTTTCTCTTCTTCTTTTTTTTTCTCTCTCTTCTCTCGATCTCTCTGTCTATCCCTCTCTTTCTCTCTTCTCTCTCTCTCTCTCTTCTCTTCTCCTCTCACTCGTCACTTCTCAACCTCATCACTCTCACCTCACATCTTCCACTGCTCACTTTCACTCTCACTCATCACTCTCTCTCTCTTCTCTCTCTCTTCTTCTCTTTCTCTTTCTCTTTCTGTCTTTCTTGCTTTCTCTTCTTCTCTCTCTTCTCTCTCTTCTCTCTCTCTCTCTTCTCTCTTCTCTCACTCTCACTCTCTCTCTCTCTCTCTCTCTCTCCTCTCTCCTCTCTCCTCTCTCTCTCTTCTCATTTTTCTCTCTTCTCTCTTTTTTTTTTCTCTCTTCTCTCTTTTTTTCCTCTCTTCTCTTTCTTTTCCTCTTCTTCTCTGTTTTTTTCTTCTTCCTCTCTTTTTTTTTCTCTCCTCTCTTTATTTCTTCTTTTTCTCTCTCTTTCTCTTCTCTCTCTTCCTCTCTTTTTTTCTCTCTTCTCTCTTTTTTTTTCTCTCTCCTCTTCTCTTTCTCTCTTCGCTCGTTCTCTCTCTCTCTTCCTTCTCGTCTTATTTTTTCTTCTCTCCGTCTCTTTTTTTCCTCTCTCTTTCTCCTTTTTTTTCTCTCTTCTCTCTTCTTCTCTTTTTTTCTCTCTCCTCTCTTCTCTCTTTTTTTTCTCTCTCTTCTCTCTCTCTTTTTTCTCTTCTCTCTCTTCTCTCTTTTTTCTTTCTCTCTCTCTCTTCTCTCTTTTTTTCTCTCTCTTTTTTTTTTCTTCTCTTCCTTTCTCTTTTCTTTTTCTCTCTCTTCTTTTTTTTTTTTTCTCTTGTCTCTATCTCTCTTTTTTTTCTCTCTCTTCTCTCTTTTTTTTCTCTCTCTCTTCTCTTTTTTTTTCTCTCTCTTCTCTCTTTTTACTCTCTCTCTCCTCTCTCTTTCTCTCTCTTCTCTTTCTTTTTTCTTTTTTTCTCTTCTTCTTTTTTTTCTCTTTCTCTCTCTTCTTCTCTCTTTTCTCTCTCTTTCTGTCTTTTTTTTCTCTCTCTCCTTCTCTCTTTTTTCTCTCTTCTCTCTTTTTTTCTCCCTTCTGGTCTTTTTTTCTCTTCTCTGTCTTTTTTCTCTCTCTTCTCTGTCTTTTTTCTCCTCTCCTCTTCTCTTGTCTTTTTTCTCTCTCTCTCTGTCTTTTTCTCTTTCCTTTCTCTCTTTCTTTGATTACACCCATAATGTGGGATTGTTAAAAAACATTGTTGTCATGAGGAGGGCTTAGGAGAAAGAGACTGAAACCTAGCCCTTACCCATCATGAGGACCCTGATGGGTAGACCGTTTCTTTTTCCTACTTGTTTCAGGCTCACAATGGCTGGTAATAAAGATTTTCTACCCTTATTAAGACTTACCCCTTCATCAATTTGCCTATCTAAATTGATTTCTCTGGTTTCTATTAATTTGAAGACCTCTGCTTTTCTCATTTAGGCCAACGGCTACAACTTGATAACTAATAATAACCTTATATAATATATCTCCTCGATGTTTGCTGTTAATTTTATCCATTCTGAATCATCCACCCATTACTCAACCTTCAGAATACACACACCCCTTTGTCTTTCCCAACACACACTTATATATGGTAGCAGTTCTCAGATTTAAATTAGGCCTCAACCTTTGTGAGGCCAGACAAGAAGCACATCAACAAAGTTTTTCTCTCTTTAAGAATTCCAAAAACTAACATTTGCTCTACTCCACTCCCACCTCAAGACTGTTCTCAGTAGCTCCTCCAGTATTCCTTCCTTCTACCATGAACCAGCCTACCTCTAATCCCTCTCTTCCCCAGTCAAATTCCTTTTCCAGTCTAAATCCCAACTGCTCCAAATCTCTACCACTTCCTCAATGCCTGCCCCTTCTCTTCCTTCATCTTTTTACTTGTTGCACTTGTTATACCAACACCAATCCACCCAACTTCTACCACAGCCTCTCTCTACAACCTTTCTTTTTCCCCTCTTCTTCCTCCTCCTAACAAGAAAACTTTTATTTCTCTGACCTCCCCACCCTATTCCCTTCCAGAAACTCTTGAAAACATTCAGAACTTCCTAAACATGAACCAAGAGAACCCTCATCCTCCCTCCAATCCCTCTATGATCACAGTATTTGCAGGTCATCCTCTCCTAGAGAACCACAACCATGTGCATCACCATTCCCTTTTCTTTCCCTATTATTCTTACCACTCCCACCTGGATGCTCATGTGAATCGTGTCCTTCTCTACACCCATCACCTCTTGACATTGTTCCTGATACTTCACCGCCTTCCCTTGTACCCTTACCTCATTGCCTGGATTATTCTCCTTTTCCAACACACCTCTACCCAAATCACCCGTCGATTGTTTCATAATGGCTCCTTTGCCAGTTTTCCTTCTATACATTCCTCTTCCTTTCTCAGACATTTCATCCAATCGCCCTACACCCTTAACCCTTTCCTCTTTTATTAATCTCTGCCTTACTTAATATCTCCCCCCTTTTCACTACCATACCTTACTTTACTATACCACTATAACCTCTGACATCTAACTCATTTTATCTTAAACGTTAACTCATATTTACCCTTTCATCACAATTCTTTAAATAGTGCTATATGACCTTTGATGTCTAACTTATTTATTTGTTTAAACATAAACCATTAACAATTTACTGCAGATAAAAAAGCCCAGACACCTTCTATTTAGCAATGATTCACATTATATTCCCAAATAATAAAACTTTTGCATCCTAAAATGAATTCAGTAAGATAATGTCCTTTTTTCAAAATAAATTATTTCACTAATCTAATCAGTCATTTTTACATTGATATACAGGTTCAATGATTCAGAGCGTTGCAGTATGCGCTGGTTCAGGATCATCAGTGTTGCGTGGTGTCAAAGCAGACCTGTGGTTGACTGGAGAGATGTCTCATCATGAAGTGCTTGATGCCACTCACCATAGGTCTTCAGTGGTACTTACAGACCACTCAAACTGTGAGCGTGGATATCTCAAGACGCTTCAGCCACGTCTTCAGGACTTGTTTGACCAGAAAATAGAAGTAATTGTATCAATGAAGGATAGAGATCCTCTTGAAGTTGTTTAGGAACTATGACCTCTTTTTTTTGCTTTTCAATTTGCTTTTATCATTATAATCTTCAAGCTTAAATTTGTCCCGCATAAAAAGGTGATTTGACAATTACCAGTGACCTTTGTATTGGTTGTAGGGGACTATAGCAGTCCACAAAAAGAGCTTAAACATGTGGGGCATGGTGTAGGCTCATACATTTCTTATGGTTCTGATTTTGGGTTTTGGGTTTCTGGGATTTTTCTTTCAGACAGCTCCCTTGTGTGAGAGCTGATTTAAGAGAATGTTAAAGCCAAAGTCAAAAGTGTACCATTTATTTGGAGATTGTGAATCCCAATTCATTAATAAATTTGAATATATTGCTTTGCATTTGATTCAGCACCACTTCAATGCTGAAGGAAATCCATGGTACTGGAAATCTTCAGACAGTATTACAATCCAGCCACTTTTGAGTAAGTATTTATGGAGTAGAATCTTACATTTCAATATAATTTAGCATGACAGAAATACTTATTTTTCTTGAAAGTGTTTCATCTCATTGAGTAGGACTTTTAAAATATATACATTGTGTTAGGCACATGAGTGCAAACTTATAGAGAACTGGTTGACAGGAAATAAAGGAACCAGCTAGGTGAAAGTGAATAATATAGCTTAGTATAAAAATCTCTTTAATGTAGCTACAAAATACATGAACCTTACATACAAAATATATCTTAAACTTAGGACTGTATTATACAGTGAAATCACAAACAGAAGTCCTTTAACTGCACATTCCAAACGACCTGATCTGGTTCATCCAACAATCAGTCACGTGAGCAGATAGACCCGATTCTCACTTGGCACTTTTCGGACAACTTTTTGTGATATATCTATCAACTGGGGAGGGGAAATAAGATTCAAATAAAGCCTTTCACAAATAAAACTCGCTTCCTTCACTCTATAATATGGGAGACACAATCCTTCCTTGCAAAGTCAAGATTTGCATTTTTTTCAATCCATAAAAGAACAGCTGCTTCCGTAGAGAGCATGATTGTTACAGTACATGGTTTGCCATTACAGAACATAGTCAAGATGATTGTGTTGTTCATTAGTAACTAAATGCTCTCGCGTCAATTTAGATAATGGCACTTTAAGAAGTATCTTTGACCAGCAAAGTTGTCGTTCCATAATTCATACACTGTCAGTCTTGATAGATAACATTAAAATGCCAACATCTATTTACATTTCTTTTGTTTATTATTGAAAAGACTATCCAGCAAAAATGCAGATCAATGCTGAATATAATAGTGCATTACCTTGACACATTAAGAATAAATAAATATTTGAAGACCTTTTAGACGTAAAAGCACATATACATCATCAATAAGATCAAGGCTTACTTCACATTTCAACAACAAAGAAGTTATGAAAGAGTCTAGTCCAGTGAAAGAGGAAAAACAATCTAGATATATTCTATTCAAGACAGGAACTGGTGGCTGTCACCCTCATGCAACATGGCTAGTCCACCTCTATTGTAAGGAGAACTAAATCTTAGAAAAAACTGAAACATGAGAACAATAATGTCACATCATGGATCAGCTGAAGGATTGGTGCATTGCATAGATTTTTAAAAAATAAACAAAAAAGTTTTTTCAATGGGTTCCACATCCCTCCCTGTGCAAGTGCTATAAACTGATAAGTTCATCAAAAGCAAGGGTCAGTAAATTAAATGACACGTACCAGTAGCTGTTCCTAAGCACACCATACTTAGCACCAAAACAAGTATTCAAAATAATTTTGCCATCACTCACCCATCAAAGAAACAAGTGTGGGCAGAAAATACAGTACAAAGGTCCCAGTTGTTTTTGTCCTTTACTTCATTTTAAAAAGTCTTTATTACACCTTCAGCTGAGTGACAGCCCTCAATCCATGTCCTCTAACATTCATACAGATGATGATGAGTATAACCCTGCACTGTTGTAAGGATTGTTGCTGTTTGCAGTCTCGATTTCTTTGGCCAGGGTAGTCATGATGTCACGGTAGATAAGGGGGTCAATATTTGTTGATAGAACATACAGGATCCACCTATGGAGGAAAGGAAAATAAACCTGGTTAGTTTAGAGAAAACAAAAGTAATGAAGCAGATTAAGTCATCATATAACTAAAAAAATCCTGAATTCTTTAAAAGTAATCAATAAAAACTTACCAGTCTCCAATGGAAGTCTTGTTGGTGATGGCTTGTACAGTCTCCAGAGAAACAGACTTGTTATGCTTGTGCATGGCCCTGGGGCGAAGGCCGGGGAGTGTGAAGAGGGCAACTCGGTACAAGATGAGGGCTCCAAGCAGGCAAGCCAAGATCACAAACCAGAACCAGATCATGATGAACACCTACAGGGAGAAAGGTACATTGAAAAACTCAAAATATGAGATGTTACTGTGTAAAGTAATTCTATAAAGGCAGTAATATACATTAACTTAATGACTGTCATATTAAAGATTGGCTAATGGCCAATATAGATCCCTCTGAGGAATCAGTGGTATTGGGTCTGTCATTACACAATCCACCACAGGTATTGCATGATTTCATTCTATCCGCGGCCAGAGTGGCTAATGAGACAAGTATGCAAAATGTCGAACAATTATATAATTTTGAAGTAATAGTCTAATGAAAGGCATTTACTTTAACCCTTTGGATCGAAGAGATATGATCATCATGTCATAGCTAAATTTGACTGAGAGCTGGGTGATGGCCATCATAAAAACTTTGGCTGAAGGCATGAGTGACAAGAATGAATACCCACAAGTGCATAAAGCTCTTGGAGGGTGATTAGACTCAGTAGGCACTTAACCCCTTGGATCCGGGTGCAATGGTTACATAGCCAGCATCCCGGGCGTGCGACGCATAAGCCAGGTGCGCACGAATACCCATGCGTGGTGACAAGACTTTGCGCCTCCCCTTTGAAAAGATATTTTGTAAACACTTTTTTAGCTTTATTGCCATTTTCCAATGTCCATATTTGTCTTTTGATTTGCTTTATCCAGATGGTAATTACTTATTTTCCTTGCATAGACTCCATATCATCTCTCTATGTAGTAAATAGCTCAGTGCAAGAGAGAGAGAGAAATAAAAAGGAACATTTAGTTATTTGTCATATATCTCATTTTTTGTAATTTTCAATTTTTTGTAATATAACCTGCACCGCCAGTCACAGCGGCCAGGAATACAGTGCGCAGCATGGAAATGGCCCCCTCCCTGGAGCCGGCACTCTTCCTGTCACTGCTTACGCACATTAAACTCCACATTTGTTTATCAATGGGAATAATGCTAAACCCCCTTCTAAGCGCCAAATGAGTCAAATCACACTCCAAGAGATTTGTGCACTCGTGGCGAGTCTTTTCTGTCACCCTGACCTTCGCTCTTGACGCTTCGTTCACGTCATCGTATAACTGTCCAAGATTTTCCTTCACATGACTGTAACATCATCCAGATCCAGGGGGTTAAGAAGGGTCTCTAGGATTATTTCTACTAGTAAATGTGTAAAAAGTATCTTCAATGAGCTACGACTGGAAGAGTGCCAGCTCTGGAGAAGACATATTTCCATGGTCAGGATCTTATTACTGCCTATCAGAATTACAGATAACAGAATATTACAGAAAAAAAACAATGCTTTTTGTCACTGCAGAGTATTTGAAATCACATAACAACTAGCCCTTCGGGGGGAAAAAAGTTACAAATAATAACACAGCAAAGGGGAAACAAGGAGTCTTGACACCACACACAAGTGTTTGAGTTGGCTGGGCCTGTAAGCCACTAAATCATCTAATAAAGTCACCATTTGCATAAGATTAATGCTCAGATTTTGGGCTACATGCGGCGAGGAAAGCACCTGGATCCAACAGGTTAATGTGCCATCTTTAATCACCAGCCAACAAAGACATTGTTTCCATTTATGGATCTTCATTCACTTTTCTCTATCTACCTATATTCAAAATATATACATCAATATACCAACTCAGATAGTTTTGAAAAGTTATCTTTATGAAGGGAAATTGTTATACATACCTTCTCATTCAGAATATTGAGAGGCAAAAGGCAGAAGGCATCATGACGCTCAAGAGTTCCTGATGGACCAAATTTGTGGAAATGACACTTGGTCATTCTTGGGAAGACATAGATCATGGGATCCACACGCTCCTCCTGGTCCATTTCACTGTACTCTACAACCTGTAAGGAAGTCATAAAAATTATAAAATTTAATTATTTAAAGAATCTGTAAGTAATTCTCAGTATTAGGTATTTGACAGCAAATGTCTTCTTTCCTGACATAAGATGATAGCCAAAACTTACTCTTGGTCCATAGGTCAAGAACTCCCCACCGAGGAACCTGTCAATCAGGAAGAGCTGCCCAACAATGTTGATAAAACATAACAACTCGCAAAACCAGTACTTGAATACATAACCATT